ACAGGGTGAAATGGGAAGGGTTACATTGCCCTTTATGTAAAAATTGGTTTCCCGACCAATAATTTTGGCAACCCAAGGGGCCCTTGCCCCTTTCGATTTTCTACGTGAAAAGAAATTGGTCTCAAAATCTTCAGGGAGTTTTTGGGGTTTTGGTAAAAGGGCTAAAAAGGGTAAAAATCACAGCGTCCTTGTATTGAAAAAAGGGTTTTCCCAAACCCAAAAAGCTCACCCCACTTTGGACTAACAAAAACTGGGCATTTGCGGGGGGGCAAATTTTTTAAATCTGTCTTGTTTGTTTAGTTTTAAATTGCAGTTTGACCTTATTTCCCCTTTGTTGCCTAGTATGTTTTTTTAATTTAGTCTTGAATTTAAAAAATCACAGTTTTGAAAGGTTTTCCGGGACCCGCTGACAATTCTGTGTTTTATATCTTTTCTAAATTTTTTCCCCTGATTGGGGTACAATTTTCTGAAGTGACCTTTATATTACTTCATTTGGGAACCAAGTCAGTCCCTCCGGGGGCAAAAACCCTTTTTTTTTCTAAAATTTTTAAAAAATCTGTTGACCCCTCTTGTAAATAACTTGTTTTTTTACCAAAAACACCAAAAAATCAAACCCCTTCAGCCTTTTTTAAAAAAGACATATGACCCGGGCTAAAATTTTATAATTAGTTTGTAATACAAAATAAAAAAAGGGGCATTTTTTCTCCCGATTAATTAAAATATAGGGATGGAGCAAATATACATTGTGAATGTACATGTATGTCTGTGTATTTATCTCCATGATATTATAAAGCATCCTGTTATCAAAAACCTCATCAATGTTGTATGGTAATGTGTATGGACAGGAACTGTGTGTATGGACAGTATGGGCAGGAAGATGTAATATAGAGAATATAGTATCTGAACAATTTGTTACAGGGTGCTTAAAAGGGTTAAACCGGCAGGAGACTTAAAAGGGATATAACTTTTCATGAAATAATTTTAGGATCATCTGCTATTTTGAAATGGCGTCAATAGCTTTTATAGTTTCAGAAAATGGACATTAACCAAAATGTAAATAAACCCAAACACCAACAAGTGTGTCATGACAATAGCTCCACTTTTTTCCTCGAGAAGTGGAGCTAAAAAAAACAGGCAGGCTAAGCTGAAATGTTTATCATAAATCATACTTAAGACTGCAATAATTTATTGTATTTTCAACCATTTTCTTGATAACATTATTTCGTTTTTTTTTAACCTAAGAACAGTCTTGAAGGGCATTGGTCAATGTCGAAATTTTACCAAAAGAGAACCTCAAAAAAAAATGTTCGTGAAGACACAATATGATTAGATTAATTTCAGACAATATATAGTTTTACTTATACACTATGGCCTGAAGTACTGTCAAGATATTGCAACTCGTCAAAATAACTAGATCTATTTTTTCGCCAGGAAAGAAAATATTCATCTTTAACACTCGTAACAATTCAAATCCTCAATGACCCCTAGACAATAATTTCAGTAATTTTCCATGTATGAAGAATGGTCTCAAAATTAAAAATAAGTGCTTTTTGGGTTTAAATTTTTTTTCCTCGCCTCCCCTAAATTTAACCCGCCCCCTAAATGTGTCTAATTTCAGGGAGTAAAATTTTTTGTTAAGTTAAAAACGAACCCTAATTCCCATTTTTTTTTTTTGTCAAATCAAGCCCGAATTTACTTATATTCAAAAGGGGGGGGGATTTAAAAATGAAATGGTGAGAACCCAAAAAGTTTTTTATTGGGAAAATTTTTTACGTAAAAAGTATATTGCGAAGTCTTTCCCCACTGGTTAAAATTTTAAAAGGGGTTTTTTACAGGAATTTTTCCCCGGGCCAAAAATTTTGGGGGTTTTTTTATTGTTTTATGCCAAATAAAATGTTTAAATTTTAAAAAAAATAATGGCAAAATGTAAAACCCTTTTTTACTTTCACCTGTTTTACTTAATTTATTACCCCTTTGATGGGGATAATGTCACTTTAATTGGTCTCGACATGCAGGTCGTGCATTTAAAGCAAATTTAACGCACAATACTCAAGTTGATATCTACCCAACCTATCCTAGATCTTTTCCCACTTTAACCCTCAAAACCTGCTGGAACAAAAGTGACGTGCCTTCCCCCACCAGTCATCTAGCCAGGCAGGTGTGTAACATCCTCGCAGTCTGACCAGGCCTGTACTGTAGTCGAATAATTTTTTTATTGTGAAATGTCCTTAAAACCCTTGGGACAATGCCTGAATATTTTTTTAGAATGGATTTTTTTTGGGACTGTCATTAGCCAAATTTTTTTTGGGATTATCAATTTGAATATTAAAAATTAGTCAACCCAACAGTATTTAACAGCCCGGTCCTCTATACTGGTGGCAAAGACTTAATGCTTTTTGAGTTTCCAAACACTTTAAAAATTTTAAAGGGTGGAAAAAATCCAAAAGTTCTTTAAAATTTTGAGTGGAAAAAAACTAGAAATGCCACTGTCATTGGCCTTTTAAAACCCCCGCCCCAACCCAAAATTTTAGAAACAACAAAGGCCATTTAAAACCCCCAAGGGGCAACCAACCCCCCGCCAAATCTCAGGTTAAATAAAACCAGTGCTTGCTTTAAAATATGTTTTTCTCCCTGCTTCAAACCCTTGAAAAAATTTTTAAAAACGAGTTTTTTTAGTTTAAAGGTCCCTGTGACCTTTTTACCCAGTGACCTCCAAAAAAAATAGGGGTTCATTTACTTTTCATGGGCTAACCTCCATGCCAAATATGAAAACTGTGGGTCCAAAAAGGGAAACTCAATTTTTTTGGGGGAGAAAACTTTTTTTTAAATCAAGGGCCCCCGGACCCTTTTAAAATTTGACCAAGTGACCCCCAAAAATTTTAATAGGAGTTTTTCTAAATTTAAACATGAAATAAAAATCCTGCCAAAAAATGAAGGGTGAGTCAAAAAAATCTCAAAGTTTTTGGGGGAGGGACAAGGTTTTTTTTTTTAAATCAAGTCCCTGGTTTACCTTTACCCATGACCTCAAAAACAATTTGGGGTCATCTTCTAAACATGAAATAACCTCCATGCCAAAAAAAAAAGAAGACTGTGGATTAAAAAATCTTTAAGTTTTTTGGGGTTTGGGCTAGCTTTTTTTAAGTCAAGGCCCCTGTGACCTTTTCCCTTTTACCCAGTGAAACCCCCCAAAAACAATTAGGGGTCATCTACTTATTTTAAAGGGCTAAACCCCCATGCCCAAAAAAGAAAAACTTTTGGGCCCCAAAAGGGAAAACTTTAAGTTATTTGGGGCGGAAAAGGGAAAAAACCGACGGATGGGGAGACGTCCGAACGGACAAGCTTATTCCAGTATACCCCCTCTTACAACTTCGTTGTGCGGGGGTATAAAAATTCAGCAGGTAAAGTTACTTGTGTATCACAAAAGCTATGTGATTCTAGCTTACCTAAAAGTCTTTGTAACGACCTGGCTAAGAATAAAACCCATTAGCTACAATATAATATGCTTCTCCGGTAGACGCCATACACTCAAAGATAGAATCTGCAGTATACTGATAAACACAGGACAAAGAAAAAAATTATCAAATATTTTATTTCAATAATGTAATTATTAAATAAGATAAAATACAGGTTGGTTATACAGTGTAATTAAATGAATGTTCCAGGTGGCAAGAAGATTAAATCAACTGAAAATCAGTACTTAAAGGGACTCCACTAAGGTTGTTTTTTTTGACATTACAAGATTGGAAATAATTTTTCAGGATTAATGTTCCATTTGATGTAGGTCTAGACAAATAACTTGTGTGTGAAATTTAAGGTGATTTCCTCCCTCCACTTCTCCAGAATGTTTTTTATTCTAAATGCCAAAAACGACCCAAAATTGTAGAGTTGCAACATAAAATGCACAAAAATACAATTTGAAATTAATTTCTGAGTATATTTTTTCATTATATATTTTGCATAGATTTCTGCATTAAATGCCAAAGCTAATCTAAGTAAGAAATTCAAATTTTATTTTTTTAGGTTTTGGACCTCAGTGGAGTTCCATTAAGACATTTATGATTCATAGCTGGTATTTTCTACTCAATGCAACATTTCTAATGCACTTATACATAATAATACAAAACATCATAAACATGTTCATTAGTGATGGGAGTTTTACTGTGCAATTTAAAGTATTTCTAAATAGATCTCTGAAATTGTCAAGCAAAAAGTGACATCAAATCAAACTAAAAAATATAACTGAATCCCTTCAGCCTTTCAGTAACCTCTGAACACATGTGGTAACAAGAGGGCCATGATGGCCCTGAGGTCGCTCACCTGTATATAGGCCCCCCCCCCGGGCCAATTTTTACCCAAGGGCTTTTATTTGTTTATTTCAACAAACTTGGTAGATACCCATAAGAAGATGTTTCATGCTAAACATCTAAGTTCTAGCTCATTGGGTTTTTTAAAAGAAGATTTTTTAAGTTTTTACTATACACATATAGTTAAAAACAATGACACCCCTGGGCAGGGCCAGTTTTGACCCCGGGCTTTTATTTGAACAAACTTTGTAGATATTTACTTAAAGATGTTTTATGCTTAATATCTAAACTCTAGCTATTTGGGTTTTTTCAAAGAAGATTTTAAGTTTTGCTATACACATATAAGGAAAATCAATGAGACCCCTGGGGCGGGCCAGTTTTGACCCAGGGCTTTTATTTGAACATACTTGGTAGACACCATTAGAACATGTTTCATGCTAAATATCTTAGCTCTAGCTCTTTGGTTCTTTAAAAGAAGATTTTTTAAGTTTTTACTATATGCATATAGGGAAAAATCAATGACCCCCTGGGCGGGCCAATTTTCATCCAAGGGCTTTTATTTCAACAAACTTGATAGACATTCACTAGAAGATGTTTCATGCCAAATATCTAAGCTCTAGCTTTAAGGTTCTTTAAAAGAAGATTTTTTAAGTTTTTACTATATGCATATAGGGAAAATCAATGACCCCCTGGGGCGGGGCCAATTTTGACCCAGGGTTTTTATTTGAACAAACTTGGTAGACATTCACTAGAAGATGTTTCATGCCAAATATCTAAGCTCTAGCTCTTACAGTTCTTTAAAAGAAGATTTTTTAAGTTTTTACTATATGCATATAGGGAAAATCAATGACCCCCGGGGCGGGGCCAATTTTGACCCCAGGGCTTTTATTTGAACCAACTTGGTAGGCACTCATTAGAACATGTTTCATGCTAAATATCTTAGCTCTAGCTCTTTGGGTTCTTTAAAAGAAGATTTTTTAAGTTTTTACTATATGCATATAGGGAAAATCAATGACCCCCTGGGGCGGGGCCAATTTTGACCCCAGGGTTTTTATTTGAACAAACTTGGTAGACATTCACTAGAAGATGTTTCATGCCAAATATCTAAGCTCTAGCTCTTACAGTTCTTTAAAAGAAGATTTTTTAAGTTTTTACTATATGCATATAGGGAAAATCAATGACCCCCCTGGGCGGGGCCAATTTTGACCCAAGGGCTTTTATTTGAACAAACTTGGTAGACACTCACTAGAAGATGTTTCATGCCAAATATCTTAGCTCTAGCTCTTTGGGTTCTTTAAAAGAAGATTTTTTAAGTTTTTACTATATGCATATAGGGAAAATCAATGACCCCCTGGGGCGGGGCCAATTTTGACCCAGGGTTTTTATTTGAACAAACTTGGTAGACATTCACTAGAAGATGTTTCATGCCAAATATCTAAGCTCTAGCTCTTACAGTTCTTTAAAGAAAGATTTTTAAGTTTTTACTATATGCATATAGGGAAAATCAATGACCCCCCGGGGCGGAGCCAATTTTGACCCCAGGGCTTTTATTTGAACAAACTTGGTAGACACTCACTAGAAGATGTTTCATGCCAAATATCTTAGCTCTAGCTCTTTGGGTTCTTTAAAAGAAGATTTTTTTAAGTTTTTACTATATGCATATAGGGAAAATCTATGACCCCTGGGCGGGGGCCAATTTTGACCCCAGGGCTTTTATTTGAACAAACTTGGTAGACACTCATTAGAAGATGTTTCATGCCAAATATCTAAGCTCTAGCTCTTAGGGTTGTTTAAAAGAAGATATTTAAAGATTTTTCTTTCGGTTGCCATGGCAACCAGAGTTCTGTATGGAATTAAATTCTTTGAACAATTTTTAAAGGTGACCACCAAAGGAACATTCCTGTGAAGTTTGGATGAAATTGGCTCAGTGGTTTATGAGGAGATGTCATTTAAAGCAAAAGTTTACGGACGGACGACGGACGGACGGACGGACGCCGGACGAAAAGCGATCACAAAAGCTCACCCTGTCACTTTGTGACAGGTGAGCTAAAAATAATAAAACAAAATGAAAAACGCCTGCTTTTAGCACTACAATACAAATGAGTAATATTTTGACATGATGAAAAACTGCCATTTATTATAATAATACAATTACACCTTTCAACAGTGACTAATTGTAATGTTACAAAAAAAAAATTTCTTGTATGAAGGACATCTTAATGTAGTTATACAGAATAATGTATTGTCAACTAGGCTTAAAACAATCACATTTTCAAAAGTTATCCAAAAATTCAAGTTGTTTAAACACTATAATATACTTAGAGCTGTAATTAATTTATATCTTAAATAAAGAATACATCACCTTAGTGCAATAACTGTTTAACTCCTTTTAAATTTAGAAGGATCTTTAACCCATTACTGCACTAATGTGACAAATTATAATCCTTGACATATAATAATTCATGTTTGTATTCTTGTTATTTCTTATTATTGAAATGTACCATGAAAATTAATCTTATTTTCTAATTTTTCAAAATATATCTAAAAGATAGACTGATTCCCCACAAAGCATAATCTAAAGCAAATGATTGCCATTTAATAAACAAGAAAAAAAGCTCCTACTTTTCCAAAAACAAGCTGCTTTTAAATAAAGAAAGAATACTGGTATGTGATAAATAAGACACATATATAGCATAAATATATAAATAATAGGTTAAAGAATATTTATTATTTAAGCCCCTATCCGTCAGACATAAACATATTCGTATTCATGTAAAAGCAGATATTCATGTATAAATTACAGTAATGCAAAATATCTTCCAAACACAGACCTGTTCAATCCTTCAAAAATTTGTCAACAATCTGGCAGTGTGTTTTTATGGAATCTGTCATTTGTCATCAATTATGAGTGGATTTTTCCCTATTCAACATGTATGCATAAATAACACAAAATATATGTAATACAAAATATCCTCTTAACAGTAAACTTCAACAAAAACAATACAAGTTTGACTTCAACAAAGTCAAGATTTTTCCTCTGTGACCATGACATTAAAATTGAGTGCAAAAATGCAATGAACTGTAAGTGAAAATAGCAATGAAAATTTGGCAGTGAAATATAAAACCTATGAGGAAAATAGCTTGAACACGTAGGGTTAACAATGCTGGATTTATTTACAGAATATAATTTCGAATCACTTTCTGTATTGGTCTGCGGCACACAGGGCATAGCTTCCCACGCCTCTTCAATCTCTTCCCACAGGAAAAGCAGCAGACCTGATGACCGGATGTTCCGTGAATAAGACTTGCGGTTTTTGGCCGAGTCAAACAAATTATGCACGGATCCTCTAATGCTACACTAGGGGCTTTTGACACATTTGGATTTGTTCTTTCTGTATCAACTGTACTTTTGTTATCTTTCTGCTGTAATTGAATGTTTGAAAAAGAATACCTCTGTTCAGCAAGATCTTTGATTAACATATCATCTACAGTTTTACAATCATTGTCAGATATTTCCCTACTTTGATTACTAACATTCTTGTCTTTTCTTTGAGTTTCTTGTGAGAGTGTAGATTTATCATCCTCAGGTCTTTCATCTGCTCTAGCTTGAGAGCCTAACCAGTCTGTTCGCAGTTTCCAACATCTCCCACAATACCTCTGTACAGGAGGATTAGACTGGTTACATTCTATACAAACCCAATTGTCCTGAAATAGAAGGAAAGTAATTTTACTTATCTAAAACGACCTTCTGAATTTCATAAATATGCTGGCACTGTAATTGACATCAGGAATGTATATATATATTATACATATATATATCATACATATACATGTATATAAACCTGCTTCATGTCAGGTGACAAATTTGGCTCCTTAAGATACATAATATTTGCAAACATGGAAATTATAAATAAATACAAAAGAGTCGCTCACCGGAGGGGCCAATCCCTTTAATATGATCAAACTTGATAAAAGACTACCCAAGAACGCTACAGACAAAGTTTGGTGGTCATCTATCAATTAGTTCTGTAGAAGAAGATGTTTAAAGGTTTTTCTACTTTTAGCTCTGTTGACCCCTAAAAGGGGCCAAATGAAATGACATGAGTAAATTCAATTGTGACTGTCACAAGGATGCTACAGACCAAATTTGAAGTAAATCTGCCCAGCAGTTTCAGAGAAAAAGACGATTGTTGATGCATCACAACGGACGCTGGAGCATCCCCCTTTGATACTAATAGCTCACCCTGAACCTTCGGTTCTGGTGAGCTAATAAAAATTGCTTTAATAAATTTGTTAATTGTATGCATTTATTCAAATGTCATCATAGTTAGTGAATATCATGACATTATTAAGTAATAAACTATTTTAGCGGGAATATATTTTATTTTATTTTTGCTCCTTGCCATGAGATTCCTGATTTTCATGTTATTTACAATTTAAATATGGCAGGTAAAGCTCTTTATATGTAAACTCCTTATCACGAAAATTTTGCTTTTTTATGTATTTTTTTTTAGGCTTATGACGGGAATAGAAACACAAATTACAAGGTTGTATTTTTATGATAAAAGTTTAGCCAGAAAGGATTGATACGAAAGACATAAATACTGTATTAAAATCATGTGAGTTGTTACTAGATAAGTCTTGTAATAAATAAATTTGGAAATAAATGATTTAAAGAAACGATAATAAAATGTTAAAATATTTTCTGTATTGGAGTTTTATTCTGTGGCCATATAAGATGTACTTTATTCTGTATAACTAAGATGTATTTAATCTTATATTGGTAAGGAATTCAGTCTAATATAAAGGAAATATAATAGTCCACCACACAATAGGCAATACATTTTCAAAAGGATTAAGAAAGCAGCACATTTCCAAATTATATGTTAATTTTTATGAAAACTTAGATAAGAAATTCTTGTCAGGTGTGATTTTACCTAGCCTAAGGCATTTACAAGCCACAGAAATTACCTTTTACCAATTCTCATACTATATACACATTCCTTTTTTAAGTTTGCTTTTTTGCAGATTTTTGTTTTTAACACATCTAGAGGCATGTTGCTTTAAAGTTTGATTTGTTTTTGCAGATTAATTTTCAAACTCATCTGGAGGCATGCCACTTTCAAACAAGAGGGCCATGATGGCCCTGAGGTCGCTCACCTGTATATAGCCCCCCCCCCCCCCCCCCGGGCCAATTTTTACCCAAGGGCTTTTATTTGAACAGACTTGGTAGACACCCATAAGAAGATGTTTCATGCTAAACATTTAAGTTCTAGCTCATTGGGTTGTTTAAAAGAAGATTTTTTAAGTTTTTACTATACACATATAGTTAAAAACAATGACAACCCTGGGGCAGGGCCAGTTTTGACCCCCGGGCTTTTATTTGAACAAACTTTGTAGATATTTACTTAAAGATGTTTCATGTATAATATCTAAACTCAAGCTATTTGGGTTTTTTCAAAGAAGATTTTTAAGTTTTTGCTATACACATATAAGGAAAATCAATGACCCCCAGGGTGGGGCCAGTTTTGACCCCAGGGCTTTTATTTGAACATACTTGGTAGACACCCATTAGAACATGTTTCATGCTAAATATCTTAGCTCTAGCTCTTTGAGTTCTTTAAAAGAAGATTTTTTAAGTTTTTACTATATGCATATAGGAGAATCAATGACCCCCTGGGGCGGGGCCAATTTTGACCCCAGGGCTTTTATTTGAACAAACTTGGTAGACACTCATTAGAAGATGTTTCATGATAAATATCTTAGCTCTAGCTCTTACGGTTCTTTAAAAGAAGATTTTTTAAGTTTTTACTATATGCATATAGGGAAAATCTATGACCCCCTGGGACGGGGCCAATTTTGACCCCAGGGCTTTTATTTGAACAAACTTGGTAGACATTCACTAGAAGATGTTTCATGCCAAATATCTAAGCTCTAGCTCTTACGGTTCTTTAAAAGAAGATTTTTTAAGTTTTTACTATATGCATATAGGGAAAATCAATGACCCCCCGGGGCGGGGCCAATTTTGACCCCAGGGCTTTTATTTGAACAAACTTGGTAGACACTCACTAGAAGATATTTCATGTCAAATATCTTAGCTCTAGCTCTTTGGGTTCTTTAAAAGAAGATTTTTTAAGTTTTTACTATATGCATATAGGGAAAATCAATGACCCCTGGGGCGGGGCCAATTTTGACCCAGGGCTTTTATTTGAACAAACTTGGTAGACACTCATTAGAAGATGTTTCATGCCAAATATCTAAAGCTCTAGCTTTTACAGTTCTTTAAAAGAAGATTTTTTAAGTTTTTACTATATGCATATACTGATATAGGGAAAATCAATGACCCCCCGGGCCGGGGCCAATTTTGACCCCAGGGCTCTTATTTGAACAAACTTGGTAGACACTCACTAGAAGATGTTTCATGCCAAATATCTTAGCTCTAGCTCTTTGGGTTCTTTAAAAGAAGATTTTTTAAGTTTTTACTATATGCATATAGGGAAAATCAATGACCCCCTGGGGCGGGGCCAATTTTAACCCTAGGGCTTTTATTTGAACAAACTTGGTAGACACTCATTAGAAGATGTTTCATGCCAAATATCTAAGCTCTAGCTCTTTGGGTTCTTTAAAAGAAGATATTTAAAGATTTTTCTTTCGGTTGCCATGGCAACCAGAGTTCTGCATGAAATGGAATTCTTTGAACAATCTTGATAGGGCTTCATACAAAGAGTATTCCTGCCAAGTTTCATTAACATTGGCCTTGCGGTATCATAGAAGATGTCCTTAGAATATATAAAATGTGGACGGACGACTGACGACGGACGCCATTTGGTTGGCCATACTAAAAGCTCACCTGCACTTTGTGCAAGGTGAGCTAATAAAAAGGCTACTTACGGCCTCTGTCAGTTCTTTATCCCCATCATTACTGTCAGAATCACTACAATCAGCAAAGAATTCCACATCACTCTCTTTACAAACAACTAGGAAACTCTGCAAATATAATATAGTTATCATCAAGGTCATAGGATTAAATCAGCTTTTTTTGGGAAAGAAAAAAAAACTTTTTAAACAAGAACATGGTCAAGACGTGGCCCTGTGTTCACTTAGAAATGATCCGCATCTGGATTAAATGATCCTAATATTATTTACATTGCTTTACCAAACTAAAAATAATTGTATTTTGTTAAAATTAAATGGGACATAAACAAAATGTAAAAAGATGCTATTTGCAAAAGACACAACCCTAATTTTTTTATAAAAATGACATATAACAAAACAAATCCAAAACAAGAACGTGTTTGTTAAACACAAATGCCCTCGGCTCAGATTCTTGTCAGTAGCAATATTTCAAAAAATGTTACCCATTCACTCAGTTATGGACAGAAAAATTGCCAAAAAAATGTAAACACAAGTTATATAGCTTGACAAAGTCATAGCATTTTGTAATTGTGAAAAATATAAGTTGCCAAGTCATTGCTCTGACGAAGATGAAAAATATTCAACTTCATGCAAGTTATCTTCCTACCAAATATGAAATACATCTGTCATTAAATAAAGGCTGTATGGGCAAAAGTGTAAAAATCTATTTTTAGCACTGGTGACCTTAACCAAACTGACCCCTAACTCTATCCAAAAGAAGAATACCATGTAAGTTATCTTCCTACCAAATATGAAATACATCTGTCAATAAATAAAGGCTGTATGAGCAAAAGTGTAAAAATCTATTTTTAGCACTGGTGACCTTAACCAAACTGACCCCTAACTCTATCCAAAAGAAGAATACCATGCAAGTTATCTTCCTACAAAATATGAAATACATCTGTCAATAAATAAAGGCTGTATGGGCAAAAGTGTAAAAATCTATTTTTAGCACTGGTGACCTTGACCCAACTGACCCCTTACTCCATCCAAAGGAAGAATACCATGCAAGTTATCTTCCTACCAAATATGAAATACATCTGTCAATAAATAAAAGCTGTATGGGCAAAAGTGTAAAAATCTATTTTTAGCACAAGTGACCTTGACCCACTGATCCCTACCCCAATCAAAATGATGACCATGCAAGTAATCTTCCTACCAAATATAAAATATATCTGTCACTTTATAAAGGCTGTATGAGCAAATGTGTAAAAATCTATTTTTAGCACTGGTGACCTTGACCCAACTGACCACTAACTCCATCAAAGTTTATGTTTCTATTAATTATAAATAACATCTGTCAATAGAATAAGGTCAATACACCTGTAAAAATGTAAAAATCTATTTTTAACATTGGTGACCTCCACATTGGTAACATTGACCTTGACCCAAATGACCCCTTACTACACCCAAAGAAGGAGGACCTCCCTTGGCATGTTTGTATTACTAAAATATAAAGGCTGTATGAGCAAAAATGTTTTTATTTATTTTTTAAACCAGTGACCTTGACCTTGACCCTAGAGACCGCTTACTCTACAAAAAATTAGAGGACCATCAAAGGTATCCACCTACTAAATATGAAAGATATCATTAAAGAAATTAAGCAATCAGGAGAAATTTAAGATAAATCCAACTTGCCGAAATAGGTTAACCAGACAAGGCCCTATTTTCAAAGTGAAAAAAGGGAAATAACTGGGAAATATGGATGACACAGTTATGTTTTTTTCTAAGTGCTGAAAAGGGCAATAACTAGGTAAATATGAAAGCCAGAGTTATGTAACTTGCCAAGATCATGTACTTTGTATTGATTAGTAAGTGTGTAAACTTAGAAGCCATTGGTACAGGTAGAACTTAAGAAAAATCCAACTTGCCGTTCTAGGTTAACCTCGTACAGACAGGCGAACAGCACAGACGGACGGACGGTTCAATCACTATATGCCCGGGGGCATAAAAAAAATCAAATCAAAATAAGGATCAATTTTAAGATCAAGATCAATATCTGGTATCAACTGTAAAATACCCATATCTAGTAAAATAATATTGCATTTATTCTAAAATTTCAAAAACATGCTATTTAAAGTCCAATTTTATCAAATTAATATTAAAGTTAATATTAACTAATTTAATCTTAGTGAAAACAGGGACTGAGTAGGTTTAAGCAAAGGATCACTAAGTTGAGAACCTGAATCTGTAACAACTTTCATTTTGAAAACACTTTTGTCATTTTAATTAATTTCAACATATGAAGCATTAATTTATTATACAAATTTTATTACAAAGTTAAAAATACAGTCACAGATTTTTTCCTGTATCAATACATAAAATTCATTTACAGTAAGACATCATTTGAGTCGCGTCATGACAAAACCAACATAGTGCGTTTGCGACCAACATGGATCCAGACCAGCCTGCGCATCCGCGCAGTCTGATCAGGATCCATGCTGTTTGCTTTCAGTTTCTCTACTTGTAACAGGGTTTGTAGGCGAACAGCATGGATCCTGATCAGACTGCGTGGATGCGCAGGCTGGTCTGGATCCATGCTGGTCGCAAACGCACTATGTTGGTTTTGCCGTGACGCGGCTCATTTATAATTACCTCCCCAGATTGGATAGAACTGAGGTCTGACTCAGTGGGCGAGGCATTATCTGACTCCACATCATACTCAATACTGAACACAGTGTCTGAATCTTCTTCAAGGAACCATAGGTCATCAGTCGAGTCTTGCACTATAACTGTTTCTTTGCTCTAAAAACACACATAAAGCCACCGTTAATGTTACTATCCCACATATGTAGTTTTGGCGTTTTTGAAATAAGACATCATCAAATGATAAAATTTCACTACAGGCTTGTATATTTATATGGAACAAGAGTTTCATACATGTCTTGTCTGACGAAAAAACCTCTAAGTAAAATATTTGCAATGTTTATCCAGTTGTAATTTTAAATCATTGCAATGTTTTAATTTGTAAATATTGACTTAAGTTATAAACAAACCCGTTAACTGGTTGCGAGAAAATCAGTTGGCTGCAGAAAGAACAAGTGCGTGTTTAGTAAGTTTTCTTTTCTTGCAATCGATATCTGCACAATATATCATAGAAAATTATGTCTATATCTTGGAAATCCGGTTTAAACCAGCCATTTATATAGCAAATTCAACCGGTATCAAACTGTTCTACTAGGTGTGATAAAAGGGGTGTTTATAAATCTGTGGCAAGTGAAACATAACAGCTGTTAGGTCACAGTCATCTCATGGAAACTGCAAATTTTACTTCAGTGCACATTTAATAAACAGTAAACAAATATGTTGATTGTTTTTTTAGAACCATTTTGTGTGGGAGAGTAGCTTTAATTCAGACAAGAAATCCTTATAGTTTCTTTATCTTGGATTTATAAACAAACATGCACATGTTATGGTGATATGGCACTTTATCTACTTAAATGAAAGAGAAACACTGCAATTATTACAGAATGTTTCACGTACCTGGACACTGAGAACTTCACTCTGTTCATTATCACTCCCGTCTCCGAGTTTGACCTGAAAATACCACGGATAACCATCTTTATCGCAATCATCACCATACGTGATACTCAACGATGTTCCACGTCTTCTTGATGACTCCCCAACTGTTGGTATGGAACCCGGCTCAGTTTGGTGACGTTTGCGCCCGGACGATTCTCCAAGACTCGTATTATCTGTAATATAGAGAAAACAATTTCATCTCTGAAATGAAACCTGAACGAGTGAAAACATCCAATTAATAGAAATATTCTAAAAAGAATTTTAAAATAGTTATACGCTTATGTAAAAAAAACACAAATGACATGAATTTCTGATACATTAACTTCTTCTGAATTTTTTTTAAAATAAATTCTTGTTTGTGTATTTTATAACAAATTTTGATGAATATATATCTAACATAATCTTACAGCAAAGCAATTTGCATAAAAAGCTTTATTATTTGCATTAAATTGTTTTGTTTCTCTTCATTATTATTAAGATCTACAAACTCAAAGAGATATATAAATTCTAAAAAAAAAACTGAATTCTAATAGAGAGCATAAACTTACTTTTTCTTTTCCTTCTATGACCTTGCACTTCTGCTGGTTGCTCACTTTGACTGCAGGATTGTCCGGTTTCAAAACTACTGGCATTTTTGCCAGCAGTAGATGCAGTACTTTTGATACCAGCATCACTACCAGAACTCACCAAATTTTTGCTTTCATCATCAGTATTAGCACTTACATCTGCAACAATTTCAGTTCTGTTGACAATTTCATTCAAACTACTAGCATTTTTAGTATTTTCCTCATTTACACTGTCCATGTTTTTTGTTTTATCACTAGAACTGACAACAGTGTTTTTAGCAGAGGTATTTTCAGTTGTGTCTGTCTTATCACCACAAGAACTGGACGAGGAAGATTTTCTACTTTTAGTATGAGGTAGATGTAAGTTTCTGACCGGTGGTGATGGTTTTATCAATGACGTACTTGTTACCAGAGGAGATGAGGTCTGAGGGACCACATGGCCATGTGTTGTTGATATGGAGGTAGGTATATTAGCACTTGAGGATGGTTTAGTCACCAAACGGCGTCTTTTCTGTAAATGAGTATCTGGCAGTTCTATACAGTTTGCTGTAAGAAGCTTTCTGAAAATAGTAACAAACACTTTTTAACCTTACTGTAAATAGTGATATATTGTATAAGGAATGTTGTTGTAGAAGTGTGATATTCTGATTGGTTATATTGCTTAAATTGTATTCTTAAAAGAACTTTTCCGCTTGGCCAGTTTGAATACAACTTTATACAACCAAAGAGAGTGATAAAATCTCAGAAATGCACACTCATGTAAGAATTTTATTTCCATCATAAAATATTTGTAAACTTTTTAATATGTTTTATAAATTAATAGGCAAATTTTCACTAAAATATCAATAATATTTTTCACTTTAATATCAAGGGAGGGAGGAAGGAAGACCCTGCAGCCATATGCTCCATCTTAAAGATCACATTAGAGAGGTGCAATATGATAACAGTTTTGATACTAAAGAAAAGCAACAGTGTCAAGTGATCCGACTAATATCTGAAAGTTTTTTCTCAGCTTTTTTACTTTTCTTTAAGAGATGTTGAACCAATTTTTAACAAAAGTATCAATTGATCATTAAATTCTCTCATCACAAACACTTGGTCTAGACCCAAATAACCCATTAGAGGACTGGGCCAAGGGGCCCTCAGGTAAGGGCATTTTAATTATTTTTGAAGAAAAAGGGGGCTTTGTCTGTCAACAACAATGCTCATAATGTTAAGTATTACATATATCTTATTTTGCAAAAAGCAATTATCAATATAATATTCTTAAATGTTCACATGTTCAAATGTTATATTACAATATCTCATTGCTAATTCTAGTTATAGAACACAAATAGTTTTTTCTATTTTTAGTAACAGTAAACCTTGACACTAGCGTTCCAAAAACAATCCCAAGCCAGCTATTTAATAAACTTTCTATAAGATAAGTTTGACTACAATATCTCATTCCTAACTCTACTTCAAGTCCAGAAACCATAAAACCAACCAATGAACCAACAGACAGACAAGCTCGCTGCTATATATCACCTGCCCCCGTTTCTTGTGTGTTACTTTGTTGCCTGAATACTACCTGCCTGCTGATGTTTTTATACAGGCATTTAAAACCTGAATACTTTGGTATTTATTACTCATATACTTGAATACACCAGTTTTTTTCATGATTTATTTTTCAGTGGCACAGTCTTTCTTGTTCTCAGATATGTCAACCAGTAAAAAAAAACCAATATATGAGCTGTCAGTAGAAAAGCATGTTTGACTATTCTCTGTGGTTGATAGTTAAACATTACTCTGGGTAATGTAGAAATTTGTAAACATGTTTATATTTATTATCAAATGATTGATCTACAAGTCAACTTACGGTACATCACTAATGGTGAATTGTGAGACACCAAACACCTCTCCTAACAAGTCACCTTTACAGTGAATGATGTTGGGGTTGTATACATCAAACATTTGCTTTGATACAATGTACACTTTTAAGAAATCCAAGATCTGTAAAAGAGGATCACAAAATATGAATATAAATCTAGATTGCTACTGCTTCATTTAACTTCACACTCATTTACATCCATGGCCGGCGAAATCTGATTTGTCAGTTTTAAATTTTTAATCTAAAGCATTTCTTAACTTGTCCGTATAATATTTATATAGTAAACTCTTGAAAATTTCCACTTGTCCGACAGGCTGTGAGACAACCTGGGCAATATAGACAATTAATTTAGCTGCCCCTTGACACCTGTACATTAAGAAATCAAATAAGATCAATCAAACAGATACCCTCATGCCCACTTTTATACATGGGCTCCAGATTGTCTAGTACATATGATAACTCATGTAAATCAACAATCTGTCTGTACTGATTCAATATATTCTGTAAAAGTTACCAAACATGTTCATAAAATCAAGTACTGATCATTACAGCAAATTGTCCGAATTATATGCATCAGCTACAAATTTTTTCTAAGTTTCCGCCAGAAAAGTTTCATGTTTCTTTTATTTAAAGAACAATTAGAAATAAATTAAAACCCCAAACAGATCATGTAATGCTATTCCTTTAAACTCGAAAGAATATTGTCAATTAACTTGGGCTCGGATTATTGTCTCATATTATCATTGTAGCACTTACTTCTTTGCGTGTCAAAACTTCGTGTGTCGCACCAATCTGTTTAAGCAGGCCAAAAAGGGCTGCTTTAGGTCGTACCTGAAAAAATATCATCATTTGTTATGATAAAATCTAATAATGTAAATTAAGCTACTTGCTCTTAGCCTTCTAGATAAGTAATAAACACATTTACAAAATGGCTAGAATTTTATCCCTTAGCTGAAGACTGAAACAAAATTTACGCAAAAGCATGAGCATAAAAATTTCAGTGATTTTTAAGACAATTGACCACTTATTTTATATATTTTGAACAATTTCATAAAGGTATTTAATAAAATTATAAAAGCTGCTTAAGTATATAAAAAAAAAGCTGGATAACACTAAAAAAAACAAGAGGGCCATGAGGGCCCTGAGGTCACTCACCTGTATTTAGGCCCCTGGAGCGGGGCCAGTTTAAACCCCAGGGCTTTTATTTGAACAAACTTGGAAGACACTCATTAGAAGATGTTTCATGATGTAAAGTTTTTACTACACACATATAATGAAAAACAATGACCTCCCCCCCCCCCCCCTTTGGCAGGGCCAATTTTAACCCAAGGGCTTTTATTTGAACAAACTTGGTAGTCACCCACAAAAAGATGTTTCCTGCAATCTAACCTCTAGCTCATTGGGTTTTTTTATAAGTTTTTACTATACACATATAGTTAAAAACAATGACACCTCTGGGGCGGGGCCAGTTTTAGCCCCAGGGCTGTTATTTGAACAAACTTTGTAGACACTTACTAGAAGATGGTTCATGCTTAATATCTAAACTCTAGCTATTTGTGTTTTTTTCAAAGAAGATTTTTTAGTTTTTGCCATACACATTTCAGGAAAATCAATGACCCCAAGGGCGGGGCCAATTTTGACCCCAGGACTTTTATTTGAACATTTTGACCCCAGGGCTTTTATTTGAACAAACTTTGTAGACACTCACTAGCAGATGTTTCATGCTTAATATCTAAACTCTAGCTATTTGGGTTTTTTCAAAGAAGATTTTTTAAGTTTTTGCTATACACATATAAAGAAAATCAATGACCCACGGGGCGGGGCCAATTTTGACCCCAGGGCTTTTATTTGAACAAACTTTGTAGACACCCATTAGCACATATTTCATGCTAAATATCTTTGCTCTAGGTCTTTGGGTTCTTTAAAAGAAGATTTTTAAGTTTTTACTATATGCATATAGGTAAAATCAATGATCCCCTGGGGCGGGGCCAATTTTGACCCCAGGGCTTTTATTTGAACAAATTTGGTAGACACTTATAAGAAGATGTTTCATGCTAAATATCTTAGCTCTTGCTCTATGGGTTCTTTAAAAGAAGATTTTTTTAAGTTTTTACTATATGCATATAGGGAAAATCAATGACCCCCTGGGGTGGGGCCAATTTTGACCCCAGGGCTTTTATTTGACCAAACTTGGTAGACACTTATTAGAAGATGTTTCATGCTTAATATCTTAGCTCTAGCTCTATGGGTTCTTTAAAAGAAGATTTTTTAAGTTTTTACTATATGCATATAGGGAAAATCAATGATCCCCGGGGCGGGGCCAATTTTGACCCCAGGGCTTTTATTTGAACAAACTTTGTAGACACCCATTAGAACATGTTTCATGCTAAATATCTTAGCTCTAGCTCTTTGGGTTCTTTAAAAGAAGATTTTTTAAGTTTTTACTATATGCATATAGGGAAAATCAATGACCCCTGGGGCGGGGCCAATTTTGACCCCAGGGCTTTTATTTGAACAAACTTGGTAGACACTTACTAGATGATGTTTCATGCTAAATATCTTAGCTCTAGCTCCATGGGTTCTTTAAAAGAAGATTTTTAAAGTTATTACTATATGTATATAGGGAAAATCAATGACCCCTTGGGGCGGGGCCAATTTTGACCCCAGGGCTTTTATTTGAACAAACTTGGTAGACACTTACTAGAAGATGTTTCATGCCAAATATCTAAGCTCTAGCTCTTTGGGTTTTTAAAAGAAGATATTTAAAGTGTTTTCTTTTGGTTGCCATGGCAACCAGAGTTCTGCATGAAATTAAATTCTTTGAACAATTTTTAAAGGTGACCACCAAAGGAACAATCCTGTGAAGTTTGGATGAAATTGGCTTAGTGGTTTATGAGGAGAAGTCATTTAAAGTAAAAGTTTACGGACGGATGGACGACGGACGGACGGACGACGGACAAAAAGCGATCACAAAAGCTCACCCTGTCACTTTGTGACAGGTGAGCTAAAAAGAAACAAGAGGGCCATCCATGATGGCCCTGAGGTCACTCACCTGTATACTTTGTAGATATTTACTTAAAGATGTTTCATGCTTAATATCTTAACTCTAGCTATTTGGGTTTTTTCAAAGAAAATTTTTAAGTTTTTGCTATACACATAAATTATAAGGAAAATCAATGACCCCCGGGGCGGGGCCAGTTTTGACCCCAGAGCTTTTATTTGAACATACTTGGTAGACACCCATTAGAACATGTTTCATGCTAAATATCTTAGCTCTAGCTCTTTGAGTTCTGTAAAAGAAGATTTTTTAAGTTTTTATTATATGCATATAGGGAAAATCAATGACCCCCTGGGGCGGGGCCAATTTTGACCCCAGGGCTTTTATTTGAACAAACTTGGTAGACACTCATTAAAGATGTTTCATGCTAAATATCTTAGCTCTAGCTCTTAGGGTTGTTTAAAAGAAGATTTTTTAAGTTTTTACTATATGCATATAGGGAAAATCAATGACCCCCTGGGGCGGTTCCAATTTTGACCCCCGGGCTTTTATTTGAACAAACTTGGTAGACATTCAGTAGAAGATGTTTCATGCCAAATATCTAAGCCTTAGCTCTTACGGTTCTTTAAAAGATGATTTTTTAAGTTTTTACTATATGCATATAGGGAAAATCAATGACCCCCTGGGGCGGGGCCAATTTTGACCCCAGGGCTTTTATTTGAACAAACTTGGTAGACACTCATTAGAAGATGTTTCATGCCAAATATCTAAGCTCTAGCTCTTAGGGTTGTTTAAAAGAAATATTTAAAGATTTTTCTTTTCGGTTTGCCATGGCAACCAGAGTTCTGCATGGAATTAAATTCTTTGAACAATTTTTAAAGGTGACCACCAAAGGAACATTCCTGTGAAGTTTGGATGAAAATTGGCTCAGTGGTTTTATGAGGAGATGTCATTTAAAGCAAAAGTTTACGGACACGGACGACGACGACGGATGACAGACGGACGGATGGACGCCGGACGAAAAGCGATTCACAAAAGCTCACCCTGTCACTTTGTGACAGGTGAGCTAAAATATGTAGTGGTGCTTAATATAGATTTAGAATTCTCCGTATAATATCGTTATCCAAATTTCTACAAAATAGTGGTACACATAAAAATCAAATATTTTCAACAAAAATAAAGTGACTAATGAAAAGCATATATAACTTATATTGTGCACACGCTTACTCTAGTAAACTACGCTTACCTCTCGATCATTACAGAATGGTGAGGTACGCACGACTACTTGATAACTTTCGTTGCACTCCTCGCACAGATCAGACTCTGAGAACACTTTTCTAATGATTGTGATTTCGCCTATGCATTTCGTACATAGCTAAATGCCTAAATAATATAATTTATATTGTGAACCAAGAGAACATGTCACAACATTAAACACAATCCCTTATTATGTTTATATTATAGTCATCTTATCTCTCAACTTTTATTTATTAGAAATAAGAACTAAAACTTCACACTCTCTCTACTTTGGCTAGTGTGTCCAGTGTTTACACATTTTCAAGAATAATAATAAGATCAAGTACAGTTGGTCCATTAATAGTAAGACAGTGGTAACTCCACTTTTCAACATTGCCTTAATGTCTTCGTCTGTTTTTGGTGAATTGGTAATACAATTTATTACCAATGAGTGTTTAGTAGTTATTATATGTTTTTGGAGAAAGTTTTAAATATTCAACCCAAATTTCTGCTCCAATAGTATTTTGCTTACCTTTTTATCAAAATTAAAAACTATGTGAATATTATCACTGATTCACTCCTAGTACAGGCTGAGACTATCATGACAAATGTATACCTTCCCAGTGACGTATACCAATATACATGATAAAAGATTTCTCAAACGACTGAGCTTCTCTTTAAAATTATGTGCTCACAGTTTTATGTAATAAGGAATCTCTCTGAGGACACACTCTCCACACCTCTCCTCTCATATCTCTAGATCTGAGCCAAGTCATGTTAATGGTTATACAATACAAATAACTTAATTATGCGCCATTATTAGCTTTCCAATTTTGTGCAACTTTCACGTCCTGATAAAAATGAGCATTTAAACTATCACTCCAAATACCTTTGTGTTTTGACTTATTTTACACGTCGAAGAGCAAATGACACTGGTGTGTGAGTCTCAAAGTTTGTCTCAATTTGTACTCTATTGGGATTAGCTGGAAAAAAACCCCATTATTTGTAATTCCGGAGTAATTCTCTTCATACCCCTTCATTTTTTTATAATAATTTATTTCCCATAGGCCCACTGGAAGTTTACTTTTAGCAAACTTTGTGTACCATGTGACTTAAGACATTCTGCTACCATTAACCAGGGAAACGTCAACATCTGGTTGTATAATCCAAGATCGGATGGACGTTTCAAGAATTTCCCCATTGGACGCTCGGGAGACACGTGAGGCAACCCAGTCAAAAACTTATTCGATCGTGAAGTCAATAGTTTCACAAACCACTGATGTTTTTAGAACTTTTCAGAAAACAGGGGTAAAAAGGAATACCAGATTACATATTTGTGCATTATAATAAAACCGGTAACAAGGTAATTATATATTTTGTATTTTGGGATGCGTGTAAAATAAAAACTAAATTGACAATCAGTAAATAGGATCTGTTGATGGCTTCCACAATAAGCTTCTCTATAATTCTATAAAGTTAAAAAAATTGGTATTATAACAGTGAAAATATCATCCGTAAGTGTAAATAACATTACTTGTTACTAATTAGTAACGGAAACTACAGGGATACTGCAACACAGGTATTTTCCTCCATGGAAGATATTTAATTATACTTA